GCCACTGACCGAGCGCCAACACACACACTCAGAGTACAACAGGATGCCCCCCGCGTAGAGGTCAAGTATGCTTGAGTCCCCGATATATACGTCATCTGTGTGTTACTGAAAGAGAAAGAGAAAAAGAGAGGCAGCGAGAAACACAGAAAGAAGTATAAATCAATACCCAGAATGGAGTCAGGTGGTTTTGTATGTGTTTATTCCTGCTGATGTGTTGATTAACTGCCCCCCCACACACACACCCACGCACACTCCATCTATCCCTCCCTGCCTGTGTTCTCCAGGTGATAAGTCTGATTAAGTGGCCTGCTCACCCGGCCTCTGATTAGGACTAATGCTGGGCTGTATTTCACTGGACACAGCCACCAAGTGCACAAAATTATTCCTCTGAAGTGCGAGTCCGTGTATGTGCGTGTCAGTCCCATGATATAGTGTGCAGCGAACACATTGGAGAATAATGGACGGCCTGTAAATGCTACTCATCAAGCTCTTTAGATGAATATGTTTGCATGATTTTCTTGCCATGAATGCTCTGAGTGTCTTTGTATGTATGCATATTTGAAAGGTCATTGATTGGTGACAGCATGTGTGTGAGTGTGTTTATATGTGCGTGTGGTGATGGTTATTAATACACTAATGGCTGATGGGGATGTACTATATGTGTGTGTGTGTGTGTGTGTGTGTGTGTGTGTGTGCTCTGGTCCGTCCTGTTCCCCGGGAGAAACTCAATACCACTCACTGTTGCTAATGAGCTTTGGGACCTCATCAGCATTAATACTACATTAGTCTCAAACCAACACACACATCAATACACACACACACACACTATATATAAATACAACCTATTGGCGCATATGAGCACCTGTGCAAATCCATAAAGAAGGTAAACAGTTAATAGGATTAAAAAGAATTTATAACATAAATAACAGTGTTATCAGTACACACTTGGATTTGTGTGGATTAATCCAAAACCGTGTAACAGCTTTAATTCTCAAACGTATCAATTTAAACAGAATATTGTCACCTTAAGTACATAACTACAAGGGCAGCTCAGAAATGATGCTTTACTGTTATAAACAAGCCATTTCTGCCGCCAGATGATTTTACTGGTATTCAATGATTACTTATAATAAATTTCTTGGAGCAGGATTTCAAGCGCTGTCAGTTTCATTGCATTAATGCATCAGTTAAACATAAGACGTCACTGCCGTGGCTCCTTTGGGCCTCGTTACATTGTCAAACTGTGCCTGAGACATCTACGTGAGCCTTATATACGTAAATAGCCAAACCGATAGCCCCATTAGCTCCTGAAGCATTCTGCCGTCAGCCTGCTGCATTCAGAACCCTGTGGCTGGCTCATATACTGCAATCTAATTCTACTACCACAGGGAGAGGAGAGGAGGGAGAGAGAATTGTATTGTGACAGAGAGCAGGAGGGAGTGGGAGGGAAAGGGAGAAGAAGAGGAGAGAGAGGGCTACAGAGAAGGAGAGAGGTAGCTTAATGCAATAAAGCATGTAGTATTGACATCTTTCTCGTGTCTATTGATTCCCCATTATGTTGCTAACAAACCCAGGTTGACATTTTGTCATTTGCAATCATGTTAACACTGCGACTTGCACGCTCCCCTCCACAAACCGATCTATACCTACACACACTGGTTTGCACGTGTGTTCATGCTTGCACACACACACTCTCTCTCTCTTTCTCACACAGACAGACACAGAGCAAATGGGTAAGCACATGCATGGTCTCACATCAGCCATCAGAGACATGTGGCAGTGCCCTATAAACATGCAGAAATGTCTTGAAAGTAGCCAGGAAGCGCAGACACGAGACTGTTGACTTGGTGACTGATGGATTAAGACTGGACATTTTATCGGACTAAAAAAAATCAGATTAGCCTACATGGTCGGGAAAAGTTATGAGGAATACAAAAATCAGTAACTGTATTGTTAATGTTGCTGTGAAATCCACAGACAGAAACAGAACAAGTCAGGTGTGTGTGTGTGAGAGAGAGAGAGAGAGAGAGAGAGAGAGTTAGAAGGTATATGGTAGGAGATGGTGGTTAATGGTGTGTGACAGAAGGTGCGTAGCTGAGATGAACTGAATCTAGGTGTTTTTGTAAGTGTATGTGTGTGTGAGAAAGAGAGAGGGAGGGAAAAAAGCAGTCTCTGGTCTCCTTGATGTCCCATCATATCAAGTCATATCATATCATATCATATCAAGCCCTGCACTGTGTGAGAAACCTGCGGTTTCTCCTCTATGTCCCATTAAACTTTCATACACCAGTTAATGCTGATGGCTTCACAAACCACTTTACTACACATACACACACATAGTTCACATAGCGGTGGCCCTGACCTGTACCTTCACAGACACAATGCCATTAAAAATAGAACAAAACCTGGATCAGTTAAAGCAGCTCACTACCCAGGTGGAAAACGGTCTAACATCCTTGTTTTATGCTATATGATGCTTCGTCTGTTTCATGACGATGTGCCTGCGTGTGCGTGTGCGTGTGTGTGTGTGTGTGAGAGAGCCCCCATAGGGGTTGTGCATGAGTGCTCGAGGCCTGTTGTTACATGAAAGAGAATGAAAACACAGGGGGCAGAGAGGGGTCAGGTGGGGCTAAATCAAACCCTCCTGCTGTGACCTCTGACCTTGTACAAAGCTCCAACTCAAAGGAGTCAAGGAGCTGCCACCAGTCAAAGAAACAAGTTAACTGAGACCTTGAGTCAAAAGAGCTAAAACTCCCCCCAAAGAACCTGTGTGTGTGTGTGTGTGTGTGTGTGTTAAAATCTTCTGTACGAGCTACCAGTGGAGGTTGGGGAAGCACAGATCAGAGCTCAGAGGCACAAGGCCTGAACTAAACAGCAAGTTACAGAGGACACTTCTGTGGTGTGTCAACTCTTTCTGGGTGAAAACTTCCATGTGATGCCATCCCTTGTTGTTTTCCAATGCACAATTCTTTAGGAAACAACAGCACAGTCTTGTTTCAGTCCTGAGATGTTGAACTGACCCTGCACCCTTTACGCGACAAACCCTCTGAGTTTGAAAAGGACAGCACCTTGTACTGTGTTATCAGAGTGGAATAAAATCAGCATAGCATTGTGAATCACTGTTATCCCACCATCTAAGGAATCCAGCAGCCTGTGTACACATCCCATCAGTTTGCCTGCTTATTCAGATGCTGGCCCTGGCCCGGGACACTGCAACATAATGGCTCATCCGTGGTTTACTCTCACCTCTCAAGCTCAAACTGGGTTTTCCTCTCCCTCCTCGTTTTTCACTCTGTCATCTACTCTTACTTTCACCCACTTCTCCCTCTCTCCCGCTCTCTTTCCACATTTTTTTTTATCTCATTCTGACATTCGCCATTTTTCAATGTGCGGAGCGCGAAAACTCCTCCTCCCCGGTCCCCACTCCTTCCCCACGTCCTCCCTCCAACCCCTCTCTCCCTTTTTTTCTGTGTATATCTCTAGAGATATGATAGGTAACAGGTTCCTCTCATCCCTCTACCCTCTATTCCTCTCCCCTCTATCACCTATCCGTTTATTGTCACATGCTGTGCACTGCTGACTGAGTATGTGGAGTAAGGGTGAAGCCTGCATCTCTGAAATCAAATGGGCTTGAACTGATCTGGAAATGAGAGGGGAGCTGTGCACTGAGGGGGGGATGCCTGCCCCTTTAAGAGCCTATCCATCGGATAAGGTGCACACCAGCCACATTTACGCACCATTACGCACTGATACGCAAGTTGTCTATGCATTAGTGAATAACTTCAATACTGAAATGCGTCGGAAATGCAAGCCCGTTGACCTCATATGGTATTTTCCCTCACTTCCATACACTCTGCAGTCCTCTGGTGTGCACACAGAACAGAAAGCACATTAGAGCCAGCGCATCCTTCCCTCTCCAAAGATGCAGTGGGGGGAAAGGGTGAGCAGCTGTTGCATGTCTGAGAAACAGTCGAAGCTGGACTGAGCTGGAGCTCTCTCACAACGACAGTCAGTGACATACTGAAGCCAGCCTGGCTGCTCCCACCATGCGTCCTTTTATTCCGCTTCAGCGCAGATGAAACGCAGACGGCGCCCCAGCCCCAGCCGGCACCCTCCCCCCTCCCTGACTCCACACTCCCTCTGCTCCTCCGCTTTCAACCGTGCAGCAGCCAAGCAGCGATGGGACAGAGAGATGGAGTCACTGGAAGTGTATTTCCAGTGTTGTTTACAAAGATGCGAGCCTTGTCCCCTAACCAGCATGCAAGTCAGAGCAAAAGCTGTCACCGTGGCGAATCAGAGATGTTCGCCAAGCAAAACCGAGTCACCAACAATTCATCTACATGAATAAAACACAATGTCAGAACAATATGAAGTAAAATGAGAGAATAGCGGTGTTTTCTCTCTCCCCTCTCGTTCGTTCGTACTCCTCCGTGCACCTACTCTCTCCTTCTATCTCCCCCTCTCCCTGCTTCCACCGGCCCAGGAATCGATCTCCGCAGGATCGATAAGTTGGCATGAATATTCCCTGCCTGCCGAGAGTCTAGTTGGGGAGAGACGGAGGCTGAGGCTCAGGCGCAGGCAGTGGAGGAGAGGGGAAGGATGGGGACGGAGACAGGAGAGAAATACACTCGGAGAAAGGGACATAGTCGGCGTGGAAATTAAGCAACACACGGGTGGAACAGTGGCGCATCGTTCCACAGAATGGACAGCAAAAAACCCGGACATTTTACTCAATTAATTTTCAAACAGTCTGGACACTCCAGCGCGCTGGGGAAAAGCTTCTTTGATTTGAACAACCGCCCCGCAAGTGTAAAGGACTCCGTTTAAGCCTTCAAAGGGAGCCGGAGGAGTGTGTGTGCGTGTGTAAGTGGGTGTGTGCGCCGACAGCTCTCCCCGCTGCAAGTGCATCGGTACCGAGCAAGGCGGGGCGGGTCTGCATGGCGGAGTCTGACCGACATGGACGGTGTGTAGCAGGGAGAAGAGAGGAAAAAATGTCTTACCGGAGTTGGAGCGGAGAGCCAGAGGGGACTTGAGACGCCAGGCGTTGAGGTCAGGGGCAGTTCTCTGAAACACGAACGGCACCGGCAAGGGAACAAACATGATCTTCCTCCGGCTTCTTGTTTTGATGCAAATAATCTGACAGAAGTACTGTAATAAGCTCTGTCCTCTTCTGAAGCCTCTGTGTCTTCGTCCGTTTCTCTGGTAGACAGCTTTGGGGGAATATTTGGTATGGAGAGCTCACAACATTCGCCGTTAGGTGTGTACACATGTAGCCCAGCTGCGCCCTTTTATTTACATTTGTGGATGTCGACTGGTGGCCGGCATTAGTTTTGGTGTAAATGTGCATAGAACATATATGTAGGATGGTCCCTTGAGTGCAGCAGTTTAGCTTACAGTCCAGACTAACACACAGACGGATAGAGAGGAGATCAGACCTCGCACTTCTACAGGCTACAGGAAAAGTTGTGTTACAATTACAGGCCTATTGTAGTAGCTTTATAATAAAAGGCTGTGTGTCACCTGCCTGGCGTTGATGCACCTGCGTCTCTCTCTTACCTTTGCACTGCTAAAGCGTTCTCCTTGAGTAAACATAGAGGCCCGGGAGCTTATTTTATCCTCTCACTCCTCACCAGTTATGTTTTCCTATAGGTGTGAAAAGGCATGAGAACAGTCGCTAGCCTACTCCTGTAGCATCACCGGCCGGGCTTAGCTTTGGTATTCGCTTTGCAATTTAAAACAGCACAATAAATCATGATACATAGAAACAGACGAGACAGTGTAAAAGGCCAGCAGAGTTAGAAAGTCTTATTTGGATTTCTGTAGTATTTGGTTTGATCTATTGTATTTGGTCTCTAGCTGCACGCGCTCCTCCTCTCTCCTTTGCATGAAGGCTACATATAAGACATTCATCCGCTCGCGCAAAGCAGCGGATCGCGCTGCGAGCACACGTAAAACAGCTTCATTAAAGGCGATCATCAACAAATAAATAAACAAGTGTGGGGGGAGAAGGCTGCACGGACACACACTCACAAACGCACACACATATACACAGACGCACACACACACACACGCACGCACACACACACACACACACACAAACACAGTACGCGCGCGCTTGGCCCTGACGCTCCTCCTCCCTCGCTCTCTGTCACAAGGCAGTAATTAAAACGCAATCAATCGATAGATAAATAAATAAATAAATACAGCGAATAAATAAATAATTAAAAACAGAGAAACACAAAACAAACGGGAATAAGAAAAGCGTATAGAATCCGGTTATGGTCTCGCGTTTTATCGGAACACTTGCCTATCTCCGTCCATCCGTCTGTGTGTCTTTTTTGTCTGTCTGTTTGTCCCCGTTATTATTTGGGAACCCCAATAGCTCATTCGACCCGGCTCCCTCCAGGATTGTAGCGATCTGCCACTGGGCTGGCCGCAACATTGAGGCGAGAGAGGACCCGCTACTACTCACACATCACCACCCCACCCCCGCACCTCCCTCCCTCCATCCCCTCCTTCCCTCCCCTCCCTCCTCCCACCCACCCCCCTCTCCCTCGTTTTCACTACCGCTGCAAAAGGTATCCTGTATTGATTTCTGGATATTTCCCCCCTCTTAATAATACCGGCTATAATGATGCCAATGGTGATCAGTGCATTACTACCGGCCTGCTTGGGAAGGGATGAAGACCCGATAGGAGGATCCATGGATACCTATAGGTGCTTAACGCTAATACCTATCAGGATACCCAGCATGCACACAATTAAGTTATCTCAGCAGTGCTGCTTTTAATAAGCCCTCCTGAGCGGACGAGGGTGTATCATTAGGTTATTCAGATATAGGAAGACAAGAGCGACCACTGCTGTTCCGAGCATGAGAAATATGAAGCTGTTTTGCAGCCTGAAAGTGCATTTTGGTGAATTTTCAACCAGTGAAAACTATAAATGCACCATCTGCATATTTGTTTGCATTTTAAATAAACATGCCAAAAAAATGTGAATACAAATACACAAGAGAGCCAAAGTGTCAGGGGATGAGCTCCTCCATGATTGAGGTGATCACCACCTCCCTCTCCTCCCTCCTGCGCTCGGATCTTGTTTCCTCCGTCCCGGCCACGCATGCCGGCCTGCCCAGCATGCCTCTCCTCGCCTCCTGCCCTCTCCCTCCCCGGCACCGACATGTTACACGCTGTCAATTACAGGCCAGCATCAGTCAACGCCGGGCGCTTACACACTAGATTATTGTCGATATAGATTTTTAAATAGAAAAATCTATACCTTAAACATCGCAGTCAATACGGACAAATCGATAGGAATGAGCGAGCTCTTGCTCCTGTAGGGCCTGAAAGCCCCATCCTGCAGGACTGTTTATACATGCTCATTTAATGCTGCGGGTGATTAGGCCTGTTTGGATGGAAATTGCACATAAAATAAATTATTTTGCTATCATCACCAGACTCGTCATTTTCTCTGTCATCAACAGACAGCCATATTGTCAAGAAATGTGTGCTGCAGCCTAAAGTGGCATATTCTTAATTATGAAAAATGTGCCATCCTCTGTAGTAGACAACCAGGTTTTATTGTCCTTCTCCCTCCGCTTCACGTATGACAGATGACATCCGCAGGTCCAATGAGGGAGAGGAGGGGAACGGAGCAAGAGGAGGCGAGAGAAGAGAGGAGGAGGAAGGGAGATGGAGGAGAGAGGTGGAGAGTGAGGGGAGAGGAGGAAAACTGGCAGAGAGGAGTAAGGTGAAGCAAACGATGGAGAATGAGGGGAAGGGAGGTGAGGCAAGAAGAGGAGAGAGGAGAAGGAAGGAGAGAAGGAAGAAGTGACTAGTTGTCCTTCAAAGACCCCCTTCTCTCCACAGAGGGAGCCATGCGCGCCCCCTTTCCCTCCTCCCTACACTCCTTCCAGACAAAAGCAATTATTTCTTGTAGAATGTAGTGTGGTTGTGCGCGTCTGTGGAAGAGAGGGATGGAGGGAGGGTGTGCGAGATTGAAAGAGGGGAAAATAAGATGGTGTTGGAGGGGTAGAGGAGGATGGGGAGGTGAGGAGGAGGAGGAGGAGGGATGCTAACACCTACAGCATCCACCCCTTCGTCCTCCACGCACTCTCCTGACCAAACTCTTCTTTTTCTTCCGTCTGACACGACCGCAAAGACAACAGAACAAGAAAACTACCAACTAGGCATCCGCACGCTTAAAAAGACACCATCATCAAAGCACCTGCATCTCAGATGAATTCACAAACCAGCAGAGGATGCTTGGATGTCATTATCCCACATGTTAAGCTCTGAAAACTTGAATCAAACTTTTTCTTTCTCTGACTGCCCTTTCCTCTCTCTAAGACAAGTAAAATACGCACATCCAAACACGCGGAATACAAATGCTGTGATACCTGAGGATGACACCTTCCTCGTTTGTCTTTGATTCTGTCCATCTGTCTGTCTGTGTTTTGACGCATGACCACCTAAATTCAGCGGATTGCCCCCCTCGGTGTGTTTCATGCTTGGTGCCTATAGGGCTCCTGCAGCGAGTTGGTCTCTACAGTTTTACTCCCCGGGGACCCCAGAGAGACCCATGGGCCCAAAGACAGAAACAGAGGGAGAGAGAGCACCCCTGGGGGCCCGCTTCAGCCAATAACCCCTGCTGGACCGCTCTCATCGGGGGCCCACGCGGTCCTGATTGCCCACCTCCCTCCCTATCAAGCCTCCCAATCCATACAGAGATATATAGCTGGTTCCATTGTTTTCTAGGCTGTATCTTCCCCCAGCTGTATTGAAAAATGCTCTTCCAAAATTGTCTCCCTCTTTCTCTTTACCTCTATTTTTTCAGACAGAGAAATACTGTAATGGGTGTAATATTTGATACTGGATACTAGCACTAAAGTCCTGTTACTGTATACTTTCTTTTTATCATCACAGAAATAAAATATAAATTAAAACATATATTTTTACAGTAGCACCTTCTGTATTTTCTTTCCACACAGGTCACACCATTTTCTATCAATTACAAAATAAACACCACTTTTACTTACAGCTTTGCATTTCTGGTACTTTGTATATAATGTTGATATTATGCAATTTACTACTAAAAATCACATAGCTTTTTAAATTTGCCATCATGTCACAATTTCAATATTCACCCTCTGCAAAAATTGCCTTTAGAGTGGAACCTAAATGAGTTTGCTCAAGATGGCAAATGTATTTTTCATTTTGGTTCATTTGTTAATAGAAACATCTTCTATATCCTGTGTATGTATTTTACTACAATTCTTCCACCTGATGATTAATAAATTAAATTTAACTGCTAAATGAAAAAGTGAATGGAACGTTTCTATTGCTTCTCTTTGTATAGTTGGCAAATAAGAATGATTATTAAAAACGTATTTATGTTTTACATATTTCTTTGGTGCTGATAATTGTTACTCAGTAAAGACAGGATGCAGTTACATTGTATTTCTCAAGAACAGGCACAATATTAATGTAATGTTTTAGATAAAAAAAAGGGGGATGCTTGGTAACTTTGCAGATGGTGGCTTGGTTATGTGTTTTTTCTCTCCTACACTACTTACAAACAAATTTATTCATAGGGGGCAATTTGTTCAATTCCTCACCACAGCATGTTTTCCATGTCATGTGCTGTAGGTCAGGATGTGACATGAAATATTTATCCAATCAGAAAGAGCCAGAAGTATCCTAAGGCTATACAATAGTCATAACGTGGACCATGCATTAGTCATATAGTTTATTGCACTCTTGGTAACTGCCTGTTATTCTCTGTTATTCTTGCACTCTTGGTAATTGCCTGTTATTCATTTTGAATGATGGATTTGAATGGTTGAAAACAGTGAATATTGAGCAAAATTATTGTTATTGTACATGATGCAGAAAAAGCAGCAGGTTCTGAGAAATTATTCTTTACGTCTCTATGAAACAGCGTGTAACTATCAGACTGCATGTGTGTAAAAATTGTTTGTGTGTGTGTGTGTGTGCGCAGTTGTTTCCTGTGCACCTTTTAGTGTGTGTGTGACCCAGCTCATCCGCGAGTGTTCGCCACCGTGTCATGGTCGTAGTTAAATGGTGATGTCATGTTGACAAACGAGCTGGTTGAATTAAATTCTCACTCATCAATAACGGCGTCGGTCGGGAATCAATAGCAGCCAACAGTTGCGTTACTGGCTCTGTCAGCGGCCTAACAAGGCCCCATTAGAATGGACAACGCTCTCTCACTGTCGCCCCGTCCCGTCTCAACCCAGCAGCACGGAGCGCCAAAGCTCTCTTCTCATATCCTCTCTGCACACACACACACACACACACACAAATACACACACACACCAATAACACAGCAAAATGCAATATTCACATAAAGCCATGCTCTGACATGATGTATAGATTTGTCAAGATAATATGGATATGATGCATGGGCTTTTATGAGGTTTGTTTGTGGGTGTCTTCGCCACTGTGTATGTGTGTGAGAGAGAGAGAAAGAGTGTGTGTGTGGGTGAGTGGCTAAGTATTGTTTGAGCATCTTGGTTAGAGCCAATGGCAAGGTTGTGCAGGCTTTGGATCCCAACCACAGAGTTCAGCTCCAACCAAGATTCAATCAATCCAAGAAGACACACATGCAGGAGAGGAAACAAGTGAGCTTCGTGTGTGTATGTGTGTGTGTGTGTGTGCGTGTGTGTGTGTGTATGTGTGTGTGTGTGTGTGTGTGTGTGTGTGTGTGCACGTGTGTGTGTAGATATAGATGTCAATGCCAATTCGCAGTCATATAAAAAAGTCCCACATGCACACAAAAACTGATAAAACTTAAATTCAGATACACGTGTAGAGACAGAAAATGCAACAAGGCAGACAGACAAACCATGACTGCACACCACTATCTCCTTCCTTTCACTCCCTGCATCCTTCCACCTTCCCTTCTCTCCCTTTCCTTTAGCGCACAAGCAGCTGATCCAGCTAAAGCCCTTGTTCTTTCTGTATTCCTTGTCTTTTTTATTAGTTTTTATTAACTTTGCCTCCCTCTCTCTGTCAGCACTCTCAATAATCAATGCTGATATATTGCCAATATCCAGCTCAGTCCCTCGTGCCATCTTTCACCAAGGCTCTGTTATTGGGGAAGATTGGCCCAATAATAATGATATTTATTATAGATATTTATTATCTGGGTTTGTGGCAGTGCTGCGGACGCACCCTGCTGAAGACTTACATGCCGGCAAACTCACCGCATACACACACACATACACACAATCTCTCTGGGGCTCTTTAATTTACACTGGTAATATCAGGCGATTATTCCCCATACAGATAGTGTAGGGTTATCAGCAGTGTTAGCACACAGTGGCTGTAACAGTATTCACTCAACATTATAGAGTCCATTGCACCTGTGTGTGTGTGTGTGTGTGTGTGTGTGTGTGTGTGTGTGTGTATGTGTATGTGTATGTGTATGTGTATGTGTGTGTAGAGC